ATTCAGGATCTAAATGAGCTTATATAACCGGAACTTTTCCATCTGAGTTAATCGCTTTTTTTTTGTTTGTCACTTTGATAACTTTACCACAGACAGAGTACAAATAACTATGCAAATGAAATAATAGATGGTCGAGATAATAATAGTCATCCAAAGGATATACTCATCTACTCCTTTATCTAAATACCTTGTTATTTTCTCGTGAGTCATTACACTAGTATTATAATGTGTGTGTTTATCACAAATTGAAAAAGTTATTTTATTGGCAATAAAAAAAAATAACACTGACTAGAAATATACAGAAATTTAGACGTTTCAGTTATCTATGCGTATCATATGGTGCGTCTTATTCAAATTAACGTTAACTAACTCAACTGACAAAATATATTGACAGTGTTGTTATGTATATCTATGTACAGAAAAGATTGAATTTTAGTTGAATAAATCATAATTAGTAACATATAATTTCTTGTTGAGCATGAAATCACTCATTATTGATGTCATAATCTATCGTCAAAGATTAAGGAAAAATAAATAATTTTTTTATGTCACTTTAAAAATGTATCAAAACACATCATCATATGTTAAATGCATCATGAATTAAATCGATACTGGAGGCAGTTTCAAATATGCAGTAAGATTCAAATTAGAGGTATAAAATTACCGTTACATTACCAATTAACTAGTAGCTTTGTAGTTAGTTATTCTCGAGTTACTTTCCGGAAGAAAATATCTGAGTATATAAAGAAAAGTTCACGTAATTGATTGCTATTATACAGATAAGATTGCAAAAAACTTTTTGTTGAAAACTTGTCCTCCCCTTCCTCTCCATAGTGAAGAACCACGTTGCCATTTAGAATAAAAGAAAAATAGAAATAATCGACTTCTAATTGATGAATAATAAACACCAATGTCTGAGCTATGTCATATATCAGCTTCAGTTATAACTCTCCTTTTCGTTATGGAGAACATTCGGAGAAGAAATAGGTTAGAATAAGCAGGTGTGTCTTATAATATTTACCTTTCGTTCTTGATATAGTCCTGCGGTAAAAATGCGTCATATATGTGGAATCATATATTGTTTAAAAATATTTTGAAATTTGACTTTGAAGTTCGAAATAAATAAATACAATTATTCTCGTCAAAAAACTTTTCTGACAATGATGTCTATCGTATTCAGTTAGACCATTGTCAATTTCATCTATTCCCGCCCAAATTGTGCCAAAATGTTCATCTATATATGCTCCATCTATACTGTTAGAGAGAAGTAGCACTTCTTTTCATTCTCCTCTACAAACTTCTGATTTTCAAGGTAAATCCTGTTTCTCTGTATGAGAGAACATATTTTTATAAAAATAGATGCGATATCCGTGAACAGGTCATCGAATTGACTTAACTGATGTATAACTAAACATTTTTCAAGAAAATAAAAATAGGGTGTGAATTGTCGATAAGTGTCCCCCAGGCGAAAACTGACTAAAAAATTCATTTTTCCAAAATAGTTCTTTTTCTGTTTCTGAACATAGTTATTCAGACTGTTCAGACTAAAAAAAGAAAATATTAAGACAAAAATAAGTAAGTGCTTTTGCTAATAAGACGAATATGTTCGTCTCGCAAGAGAAATTTCTCTACTATGACTCCTATACTAAATATTTTTTGTAAAATTAGATTGTGAGGGAAGAAATGTTTACATAGAAGGCGTAGTTCATTTTGATTCTATCTAATAGAAAAAAAATCGAAGTTTCCTTTTAACTAGTTAAACGCTGATATTATATATTCAATGATCACACCGTTCGATAGTCAAACTTAGTAAGCATATCCAATTTTCTGAACAATAAATTTGCTTCTACCGGAACAAAACTAATTATTGAATTAACACGACTACAAGAATATTATTTAATTTGATAATGTTTGTCTCTAGAAACGATTAGATATGAAAAGATACTGCCTAATACGAGAACATACTCAATAGTATTATTTCTTTATTGTATGAATATATTATATTTATATATTAAGCGCTATGATGAGAAACTATACGCGTGAGAAGAATGTATGCAATAGTTGAATCTGTAAAACATCTATGAGAACAATTGTACATCCTTTTCTTACAGAGCTGGAGGAGTCCACGGGAGGAGATGAGCGTTACTGAGTACGAGTCCGATCATTTTTTCAAACCTTTTCGGCTATTGTTATTTATATTTCTTTTTTCTTCTATTGCATACAACATGTTAATCTTATTATACAAGAATAAGTGAACTTCTATTACATATCCCATAGTGATATTGAAAAAAACTGAAAATTTTCCTCTTGAGTTATGTAAGAATTTGAATCGATCAGACTCGAAACACAAAAACTCAAATTCTAGTTCGGACTTGAAAATTTCTTGTATATATATCTAATACATAGGTTAATCTGTAATAGTGAAGAGAGAGTTGAAATCTGTAATTCATTTTTGTATATAGTTAGTATAATATTGGTCTCATGTTTGTTTATTTTTCATGAAGTATAAATCATTAGTATAGTTCGTCATTTGTCAATTCAACAGATCTATTATGAAAATCTATTTTTGAAAACATAAGAATAGATGCTAATGATTTAAGCAAACAATCAATTTCTACGTAGAGAGGGTAACATAGAACACAGGTTAGTTGATGGAGAATCTTAAGTATTCGTTAATTTTAGATGCAAAGGCGATGACATTAGGTATATAACATATGAAAAACAGAGACTGTCTATACCATAGCAGCTGGAACGTGTCAACGACACTTCATTTATAACAATGTATCATAATTCATAGATAGAATTTATTATAACGTATAGAGATCAACTTTTACTAATACCATCTTTATTCTTTCAAGACAAACAAATATTGGTTGATTAGTATTTGAGTAAGAAACAAATAAATCTAGGTAATTAGTAAACTGAGTTCAAAAAGTAGAGATTTGAGAAGGAGATATTTAGAAACAAACTTATCTGTTTATATTCGACTGTTACCACAATACTCTTACCGTGTAGAATTGACAAAAAAAAAAAAAGAAGAAACATCTTTTGATCTAGAGGTGGTAAAGGAAGTTTCTCGAATGTGTGGAGAATATTTTAGTGAAGTGACAAATATCAATGTATAACTATGTTTCTTTTAATATTTGACTACCAATTCTAAGTATTTGTATATTATTTCCTTTTACAGTTCTGATTATTATTATTTAGAGCAGCGTCTAACAACAGTTCTCATACATCCGTTAGTGTTTCCTGTCTACTACGTATTAAAGATATAGTTCCAAGGATATGTTGTTCATTTAAAAAACATAAGAAAACAAGAAATCAAGTTAATATTTCGTGATTTGAATTTCTAAATCTTCCTCTATATTTTGACGTTTTTTATATTACCCAGATAGTTCATGACATTTTTTTGTAGCAGGTAGTTCATATGATGTACAATAATGAAAATTTTTTGTCAAATGAATGAAATATGAAATGCTAATTTTTAATTCTCTTTTATACGTATGAAATGATGTCAAAATACAAAAAACATTGAGAGATTATTTGGAAAAGCAATGGATACTTTCCTATATCTTTTGCAACAAGAAGAAAAGAATGTCGACAAAAAAAAATCATTTATTTTTTTTATTTTTTTTATTATGTTCTAAATAAGAGGGAGAACACAAGAAGAGAGCAACTAATGTTTTTCTATTATGAATTAATAATTTTCTTTCATAAGAGCAATCTTACTGCGAAAAAGAATTATAATGCAGCAAACCTTTTTTTCATTCACTTAACTTTCGCAATATCTTTTAACGACACTACATAATCAGATGTTGTTTCGATTTATGATGTTGTGTAAAACGATTAGATTTTTTGTAGCTATAATGAATAAAGCTATAACCTTTTCCCTATGATCTGTAGAAGGCTTGGATATACTAGAAATATTATAGTTTAGTTGATACTAGATATACTATTTTTCTTCGGGTCGTCAATAACTAGTGATAGGTACTAGAATGAAGTAAACAACTAACTAAACTACATATGAAAAATTTATTCGCTGATAAATTGGATGAGTGATCATTTCTCTTGGTAATGGAGACATAATTCTTTTTTAATTAAAAGAAATTACATATTTTCACTGTGTTTTGAGTATATATTGTTGCCAGTAATATACTGGAGGAATTAGACTAAATATATATATATATATATATATAAATATAATCATATTTAAGTCTGCTCTTTCAATTAAAAACTGTTTATGACATTTGACTTAAAAATAGATCACATTTTGATTATTACTTTTCTTTATCTGTCTATATAATAATCTTCTAAGTTAGGTTTCAATGGTAAAAGTGATAGAAAATGATATGATTTATTACTCTAGATATTTAATATATTGGATTCTTACTTTTGATAATGCACAAACGTAAACTATCTTGACAGATACCACTGACAAAAGAAGATCTGTCAGTAAAATGTCTATGAGAAATCATTTTTCATGGATCAATGTTTTTGTCTAGCTACAAGACGGCAAAATAGAAGTCTTTTTTCATTCATCTTATTTTTCAAATAAAAGTCACGATGTAAATTCACTTAGAATAATTAGTAATCTTAAACAATTAGAAGGATCTCTAAAATGTATATCTTGTACTTTTACAAAACCCTTGTATGAGCCTAATAAATGATTTAATGTGCAAGCGGTCCACAAAGAATGGGCCACTTTGGAGTGTAATTGGTTATAATCTGAGCTAAAATTTATCATTCTAATTGTTTGTAATCAGACATGTACGCTAGCGCGGCGACTACCGATGGATTTTGACCTGCTGACGCCGAAAAATTTTTGGATAATCACACGCTGCTGGCACCGCTCTTTAAAAAAAATTCGTAGGTTACAAAACGAATATCGGTTCTACAAAACCTAAATCAGTTTCTTCACAAGGCAAAAAACGTTCAAGCATATTCTGCGAAACGGTTAAGCAGGACTGTGCGATATGGATACTGATTTCTATTAGGAGCAAATGTCAGAACCGATATTCGTTTTGTAAGCTACGGATTCTTTTTAGAGAGAGGAGGAAAAGTTTTCTCCGCACCGTCACCGTTCACTGAAATAATCGGCGTTTGTCAGAATCGAAAAAACGTATTGTATCGTGTCAAAACCCTCTATTCATCTTTTCCGCTGTTTCCTCAATCGCACTGCAGTCTTAAGCTAGTCTTAATCATTATTTTCTTGTTAGTTACGACAGATGGCTGAACAGATGATGACAGCTAATAATAACAGCTTTAGCGAAGAAAAAAACCTTTCGTCGCTGATTTCAAAAATTTTTCAAGAAGTTTTTCAGTCTTACGCCGATCGCCGTCGTCAAATGGAAAAGTTTGCACTGCCGCTATCAAAAACGGAAATTTTGAGGTTAGCTGTCCGCAAACATTTTTCATCGACGCACATGTCTGTTGGTAATTAATTTTTATTTTCTATTTTATTTTTATCATGCACAGGTTGACCAAGTTTTCAATCATCGATATTTAGAATAATCAAATGAAATTACGATAGTAAATATATCATTCATAAAATGGAATTATCTAGTGTAAATCTTGATTATTCGACAATAATAACAGTAAATGCAACATTATCTCAAATCGACCATGATAAATTCACTCAATTAACTTTACTTAAAATATGTTTATTTGGAATATTTTTTCTCTGTGGTCTTATTGGAAATTCACTAGTATTAATTGGCATTGGTCTGAATAAGGGCATGCAAACACCAACAAATTTATTAATATTTAATTTAGCTGTAGCCGACATTTTATTTATCATATTTTGTATACCTACAACTCTATATACACTGGCAAATATAGGTCGATGGCCATTTGGAGCATTGGGATGTAAACTAGGTAATATGGGCTCGAGTTTCAAATAATATGAGTAAATTCATCTACTATATTATTGTATTAATAATTACATTGAAGAAGATAATTCAGATCATACGTTAGTCGCTGTTCGCACAGTCATACTTTGCATGAGGCAAAAGAGTACGCATGGCAATAACATTTTGTTGAAAATAGTGTGTTCAAATTTTATTTTATCGCTTGGATTTATTTTAACTATTTTTAGCTCAGTTTATCAATCATTTATCAGCATTCATGAGCATCTATTTATTAGTGGCCATGTCATTTGACCGGTATAAAAATTTTTTCGCTTATCACAGTGAATTTCTGGAAAAGTCATACAATGGTAATGAGGATTAACTCTCGATTTTGTAGATGCTGTAGAACGTGATGATTTGAATATAATCTCAGTCTCCTTCGTTTTGCTTTCCAGATTACAAATCAACTTAAGTTTCTCATAAGTTAGTCAAAACACAAACTTAGTAATTCTCGTTTTTTCCACCATAAAGCCTCGAATCAATTATCAGACAGTCAACAGAGATAGATCAGCGTGACATATATAAATGATGAATAAAACTGTGTAATAAAGCGTAAAATCGAAAGTAGTGGAAAAAATGATTAAAAAAACCGCGGTCTAGAAAGCCGATGGAAAAAGCGTGAGTTAAGATATATAAAAGTCAAAATCGAGAATACCCATCCATAGAATTCGAAATCATAAAATGCAACTCGTAACAGAATAACCGTGAGAGAAAAAACGTAGAAATTAATATATATAAAAGAAAATATGAAAGAAAAATCCATGAGCGCATAAGTCATTCATCTCTCGTTTTGTCTGCATAACTTATATAAAAACAGTATCAGTTTCAACATAAATTTTTTCTCTTCCATTATTCTCTTCCATCGTTTCACAGGTCATTAAAACTTAACTAAAAAGTAGTTAATCTGACCATTAGTGTTGAGGATCATGATTCAGGACACGCTCGTGGTGACTGTATAGGCCATGTGACAGAAAAATTTTTGTGACTTAATGAGTCTTATTAGATAAGGCAGAGCGTTCTGTGCGTATGCATGTTCTTTTCAGAGATCCGACCCAATACGGGCCCAACATTTTTGATCCGGCCCCGCCCGATGATGAAAGCGATGGTGAAGACCAAGTCCGGCTCAGTCCGACTAAATGTAGAATTTATCTGGCCCGACCCGGCCCTGTCCGACCACTTTACGTGATTTTCTTCTTGCATCTGTAATACTTTCGCTGGCTGAGAGATGTAAATGTATTTCTCAAGCTAATATTTATATTTTTGTGATTTCTCGGTGCTAAATATACACATAAATTACAAATCCACGCATGCTTAAAAATTCTAAGTTCGATCCGACCCGACCAAAATACTTTGCGGCCCAAGCCTGGCCCGGTCCGATCACTCTACAAAATTTTCTGGCCCGGCCCGTGCTGATCTCTGGTTGTTTTCCATCACAATTTTTATGCAAGAAAAGCGTTAACTAAAATTTGTTTACAGAAAAGTGTGAAAGAAAAACTGTAAACAAAATGTAGAAGAAAACCGTGAATTAATAAAAATGTGAAGAATATCGATAGAAAAAATAGTATAGAAAAATGGCATTGAAAATTCATGAGCAAAAAATGTTAGGATTTCTACGGTTTATTTTTGCCGTGTAGTCTACAGTCAAAAAAAATCACTCAACCCAGTGTTCATTTATGAGACCAACTTTAAAAAAAGCATATTTTGCAATTTTCGTCAATAGGCGTGATCTGTCAAAAAATCATACAGCAGTAACATTCAGTCTGCGGTAAGACAATTTATATAAGTTTCATCTGTGATTTATTTAAAATAAAGAAATATCGTTCACGCTTTTATATGAAATTCGGCTTGTGTTTGATGAAAAGGGAACATTAACTAGAAAATAGGTTTTGTCTCCGTTTCACTTTCCAGAACACGTCGTTTACGTTCTTATTGCAAAATCGATTAAAACAGGCAAACGTTCACTTAGCCAAAAAAACGTTTTTTCCAGTATATGTATAGTACTCTAGGCTATCGGTATAACTTAAGAAGAAACAGCGTTTTCGATTAGGTAGGGAAATTCCCCCACCTTAGTTAAAATGAATTACTCATTTAAGAAAAAAAAAATACTTAGTTCATAAAAATATTAGCTCACTCAGAAAAGTTTTTAGAGTAGCTCAATAAAACTTTTACCATCTTGCCATAGTTATATCGAAAACGATTTAGATCGAAATGTTTTCAGATTATATTCGAATAATCATGTTTTACAGCATCTGTTAAACTGAGTCATTGTATGACTGCCAGAAATTTGCTCATAAGAAGCTACGATGTTACATTGTTTAATTTAGATATTTAGCTGTTGTGCACGCAATGGACTCAATGAAATCCTATCGTACAACCCAAAACACAACAATTTGTATAACGTAAGCATTTGTTAACTCTTCTTCTTACTATTATTATTAATTATAACATGTTTTCATCTCAACAGACGTTAATAATACATTTTTCTATTATTTTTAGAGCATTATGGTTTATTGGTATAGCTATTTCGATACCAATCGGCTGTTTGTTCACTGTACTCAGTTTCAATGATGATCAAGGAAAAAAACCAGCATCGTATTGTTTACTAAAATATTTACAAACTAATTATTCTATGCCATTGGTACCATTACATTCAATAAATAGGACATCACACTATTCTCCAGCAGTGAATGAATATAATTCGATAGTAATGACAAACACGACAAATGATGCCCTACCGTATCAAGCATCTGTCTATTGGATTGGTTTTGTAGTGTTTCTATATGCATTACCGTTAATATGTATTGTAATTTTGTATGGCTTAATGTTAGAATTCTTGCGCGGTGCTCACGGCAGTCAAGTCAATCGATCAAAGAGACGTGCAACACGAATGATTTTAGCTGTCGTTTTAACATACGCATCGTGTTGGTTTTCAATGCAATTATTATTTATATCGAACGTTGTTTTATCGAAAAATATAGCACACAAACACGAAATGTACATGGATATTCTTTCAACGTGTGCAAATGTTTTTGCCTATTTAAACTCTGTAAGTTAGGTTTTTAGAAAATTAAATATTATCCTGTCTTTCTGTTCTCTATTTTCAGTGTACAAATCCGATCTTATACGGTTTTATGTCAAAAAATTTTCGTTTATCATTTATTGATTTACTTTGTTGTCGTTATACAAAACGTCATTTATATCTGAATAATGAAAGTATTCGTCAACGTGCAAAACATAGTCGTCAAAATAATAGTAATCGTCTATTAGTTGCTTCACACTGTTCAAATGCTGCATTATCCACTTTTACAAATGATCAGAATAATACAAGTCAGCTATATATTCATCCAGGTATAACAACAACAGAATTAATACCCATAATTGATCAAAAATATTCACGAATAACTGTAGGTACACAAACAATAAAAAATAGACGACAACGAAAACGAAATAATATTAATTCACCCAGTTTAGATTTTTCTACAACGTGTAAAACACGTAGTCAATTGGATGTTGGAATTGAGACAAATTATCTTTTTATGGTAAAAAATAGTGATAGCCTCGTGATATCGAATGAAAGAGGTGTAGTAAAATAAATAGAAAAAGATGTTTTGAAAATTTTAGATGGTGCTACTTTTTTTCTTCTATTAATAAAACTTGTTTTTTTTTCTTCTTATGTCACTGTTTTCCTGCACGATGTCGTTTTGAATGCCAACCACACAAGAAATGTCCACAACATGAGCAATTTTTTTTTGCCATGTTTCAATACCACATGTATGACATTTATGTGGTGTTGAAGAATAAGTTTTAGGTTTTAATAACGATGGTTTATCGACATTTTGATTAACATTTAACGGCTCTAATTGTTTTTCTATTTTGGGAGCATCAGTTCTATCTTTTAAGACTGCTATTATTGACTGCCAATCAATTTTTTCGATTTGAATATGTATATTATTCATATTTGCCATGTCTTCAATATCTTTACGTAATTTTTCCACACTAAAATTTAATAATTCGATATCATGTTCAACATAATTTTGTTTTTCCATTCTCTCTTGAAGTTCCATTGTTATATCATCCATTCGCTTCTTCATAATATTTTTTACGTCTTTGATATGTTGTTGAATATTTTGACGAGTGACATTGGCTATGTCCATCACTTCCTTAATCGTTTCTTTTTCCCATTGGTCAACCTGATTCAGTACATCAATATTCGCAAAATTCTTATCTTGAAATATCGGATCTAAAGTTTGATAAAATGTATTGCGTTTACTAACTATTTGTTCAAATTCAATCGATAATTCTTCACGATGTTGTTTGAAATGAGTCAAACAAAAAACATTTTGACATCCAATGCAAGGAACAATGCCTCTTCCCTTCTCGCAATGTGGACACTTTTGATTCGATGTGCCGTCAGACGTCATGAAAATTCTTGAATTCTGAAATAAAAAAACGTGAAATTGATTAGTTACAACCAAGAGTGAGAGTTTCTCAATCGATTCTATTAACGGTGTCTAACGAGGGAACCTCTTGAGGTTATAAATCGCTTTTGAACTCACGTCAGACTACTTTTATCTTGTAGATCTCAGTGAACAGTGAAATACTCTATGTTGGTTTGTGCTCATGGTGCTTTGTCGCTGAGATACTGAAGTTTTAGTCAGTTTTTGCCTACAGAGCTTGAATTTCAGTGAGGGTGAGGAAAATCCGACTTTCGAATTTTGATTTCGGACTTACCACACTTGTAGCCCATGGTCATAGTAGTACGACGGAAAAATATTCGATGCTAATGAAGTTTCCTGTCTTGAGATATTGAGACTCGAACATTTCACGAGAAGGTAAGGGTGAGGGTCAAATATTCGAGTCTCAATAT